CATGGCTGCAAAAGTTGCTAGCCAAGCTTTGTGGATCTGACGTGCAGACCGTTATAAAGCAGTTGACCAATTCAGTTGTATGGGACATTTTGACGCAGCAGTTTTGGTGCACACTTCTGGTTGGTACCAGCGCTCGATCCTGCGGTCACCGCATTAAGTATAAGTGACCAGTGGTATTGATATTCACACTGTGACATTGGCATGGCATCGTACACACAGAGTTTTCTGATGATAGGCGATATGATGGGCAAAGTCAAGTAATTAATTAAAATGACACACTGCCAATGACATGAATCCAAACTCGTGACCGCAGCTGAACCCTAGTGTACTGGCATCGCACAGTCATCACAGTGCAACTGTAATTCACTACTATGAAAACTGCGTCGTAGTTCGTATACAGACAGCTTGTCATTGATATGTACCATGATGGGCTGAATCATGCAACTCATGCAGCTGACCACTGGCCAGTTACACAGACGCTTAATGCTTCAAGACGTCACACTGTTATCGCACTTATAACGAGTACCGTGAAGCACGGTGATCAAATCATCGCCGAGAGCGGATTTCCTATGCACAACGACATAGCGACCCGTATGCTGAAATTTAAGGGAACCCACAGAATATTTAATTCCGTTCAGTCCAAGACTGAAGGTTCGAGGCGATTTCCAGCTCTTTTATCATTCGCCGCAAAATCGACCACAAGAGAGAAGTCTGTCTCGTCCAAAGCGACACTTATACAGGCCCATGATATGTGTGCAACGTTCGTCCATTCTTTATTAACACATCAACCTTTGTCAACCGTAAGTATTCTCAATTACGACAAGAACACTACTTCAGTTGCAACACCATGGGGGGGGGGAGGAACGGGTCGCTCCACCGTAATTTACGCATAATATACCTGTCTGAACTCAAACTTATATATGGGTTACGTGTACTTCAAGTGATCTCGGTCGAGTTCGTATTCTAGATGACTTCTGCAGGTGTGGCGTCGTCGAGTTTCTGGCGCGAACGGACCTGACCGTCGCGCAACATTACGACCGTAAAGGCTCTGGCTGCCCGGTGGAGTTTGCCCACGTTGCCGAGATGGCCAAGCAGCATTGCCAGCAGGACTTGAAATATGACGTTCAAATTTCTTTCTTCTGTGAAAGGGGAACGCGCTCTGGTGAAGAACATTCTGAAAATTCCTTCAAGCGATTTTCTTGCACTAAACTTGCCTTCCTTGGCTTCCCACGCACTTCACGCGATAAACACGACGGCTGACCAGTAAACCTGACAATGACCTTGTAAAGTCCGTCCCAAAGCGTCGCTATTTGCCCCTAGTCGGCCAGAAAGCCAAACGCGACCGCTTTCCTTGAAGGTGCGGTTCACAGCCTTTCGACGATACCGTTCTTTCTGGCGGAGTACACATCGGGTCAGCTGACGAAGTTGTTTCACATATCTGGGATCAGAACCTTCGCTGTTCGCACGACCATCAGTTGACAGACTGCTCTGCCAAACACTGCCATGAATAGCGTATGGGGTCACTGGCGTGTTTCTCGTTCGCGATATGCGGTATTGGCACTGCAGATGCACATACCCTTTACTTCAGGCCATATAGAATATATAGGTCACATAGAAATAGTATCACCGCATGCCACCTTCCATTGTGATGCCAATCCTCTGGTCGCTAATCGCCGCTTGATTCAGGTCAACTTGGGTTTTCACGCCTCCGATGAAGTTCCATGGTCTGAGTGACGTGTTGCCATGACAGCTACTTCCGGCATTTGCATAACATTCGACGTGCCTTTGAACCTCTGCAACGAACACATTATATAATCTCCTTCAATTCGCTGGAGATCGTTTAAGGTCCCGCTGGAGAGGGTCGAGAGTCTACCGAAAAATCAGTGAACTTCGCAGGTGCGGTTCACAAAGACGAGGGAATCGGATCGTTGCCAGCGTTCCTTCCGGTTCTGCCATCGGTTCTTCCTTCCATTTACTTATGCTGTTTTGCTTCTCGCTCCGCTGTGGCCATTCATCAAGCGATTTCACCGCTGTTCCCGTTATCTGATTGCCAGTTGTGGATCAACTGCTTTTAACAAGTGTCGTAACACGACTTCTGGATCCGTTGTTCTAGACGAATGTATTCTCTCGGGCAGTTGTAAATCGCAAATCCGCAGAAGACTCCCTCTGTTGGTCTCTAAGAGTTCTTCAGGGTCGCCATAGACCATTTCCGTCTGGAACTGCACTTCCTTGCCAGACATCATGCGGAACATTGCTAACAGGTTTGAGGTTTGTTGCTGGCAATGCCATCATCACCAGAGGTATCCTTTCGTCTCAGTGAAACGGACAACAACTGGAGACTGAATCGTTCCACCTGGTCGTCGGACTGCAGGTGGTACGCAGTCGTGCACGTTTTCTGGATTCAGAGCCGTCAGCATATCCAGGCGAGCAGTTCCGTTTCAAAGTTTCAATTTCGTTCCTGTAGTTGCTGAGGAACTTCTTATCGGGTGAACACTTCGTTTAGTAATGATCGGGTTACAGGGGCTGCATTCATCTTTGAGGGGGGGGAGACTTCAGCCTACTGCATAAAATAATCACGAACCTCTATGGAGTACTGCAGATCATCGGTCTGCTGAAAGGGCTGCATGAAGGTACTGAAAACGCTCTCAGAGCGAAAGAGTCGTTGTCGGATTGGTTTTGCATTAACAGCGGAGTGCGCCAAAGGGGGTTGTTTCAACATGATGATGGAATATGTTATGTGGAGGAGCGTCCTCCTCAGCAACATCGAAGGATTTACTATCAGACGACGGCTTAGCCGAATATACCCACGATACTCACGACAGGTCTTGAATACGCTGATGACACTGTACCGCTGAGCAACTCCGCTAATGGCTTACTGGCACCAACTCGAGAAGTGGGCAACATGGCCTCGACGATAGGCGTAGTAGTTAACCCCACCAAAACGAAGACCTTGCGAATACTTGACTGGACTAAGGATCCAAAGATTTAATGGAGTGGAACGACCTTCTAGGAGGTCGAAAGCCTCAAGTACCTTGACTCTGTACTGGCAAGAGATGGAAGCCGCAATAGGAAAGTAAAGCGGCGCTTAGGGCTGTCATCTATGATTTCGGGTGACTATATAAAATCTGTTAAGCCCGATGTGTCCGAACAGCAACAAAGATCGCCTTACTGAAAACCACCGTCCCATCTTGAAACACTATCCCATTTGAAGTGCCATGAAAAGATGTTGGACACTTTCTGCAGTGTTGCCTGTGGAACATGCTAAAAGTGCAATGCTTCCATCGAATAATGAATGAAATATCTCGGAGACGTCCGGCCTGAGAATGCTGTCTGAAGAAATCAGGAACCGATGTCTGTCGTGGTTTGACAAAACCATCCAGAGAGAAAATGAAGATGTATTCAAACCGTTCTTCTCTAGAAAGCAAAATCTAGCCGCAGACGCATCCTAAAGCAGCTGCCAGAGACGAACGTGTTTGCGACGAGGAACATGACCCTCGCTGCAGCAAGGAATCCAACATAGCCTGAATCGTTCTGAAAAGCCCAAGCGTCAGACATCGTTAATCTGGGTGCCCTGTGCTTGACTATGATGCCTTGACTGAAGACTGTGATGACAAAAAAATCCAAACGGGGTTGTGGCCGCGGTTTCCTCCTTCTCTGACCCACTGACTTCGATTTGCCAGTACCCGGACGCGAGGTCGATAGCTGAGAACCATCTAGCGTGTCCAGGGTGATAGGGTGAGAGTTCTTCCACGTGATGTCGTTCAGCTTTAGGTAATCAACGCAAAATTTTACGTCACTGCCAATTTTCCTCACGAGCACTGCATATGAAGTCCATGGGCTGTTCGACGGCTCGACTATCGAATTCTTCAACGTTCTTTCAATCAGGATCTTTACCTCTTCCCTGCGGCGGAACAGAATCCGAGGATGAACCCGACTGGCCGGTGGGCCATTCGAAGTGTCAAGTGTCAATCAGGTGCAGAATTAAATTCGTTTTTCGTGATTGTGCTCATCGCGAGAGAAAACGACCTCAAACACTTGAGTTAAGGCAAAACAGTTGCTCCTTTTGTGCTGCGACTATGCCCCGGCGACTGGAGAGTGTTGCTTCGACTTTGGTAGGCGTACCGTGCGACTGTTTCGGCCACTGAACGTAACACTGCTGCACGAGAATCTATTCTCGGTGCTGACGCTGTCCAGCACCGTCTTCACGTTTAGGGTTACCGATGCCGGACACTTAGGATTAGGACGGGGACCATCCCATTTTCTAAGTGCACTAGAGCTCTTGCTACAAGTAGTCTATGTCGACCTGAGCTTTTTCCATTAGGTTCGAGTAAGCCTCCTTTCGGTTTGTTGCCATATGAATCGGAAGCGGCTACTTTGGCTGGGATCAGACAAATATGATCCGCCGGTATCGTCACTCTTTCTTTGACTTGGACCGAGGGCACTTCAGTACTGTTCGACTTCTTCACCAAGTCACGTACATTTTTCGGTGAGGGCGTCTAGCCTTAGCATTGTTAATGTGGCCACGGTATCCAGCGTAGATCGTATAGAACGCGTTCATAATCGTGC